GCTGAGGGTGCTGGTGCCGCGGGTCCCGGAGGTGCTCGTACTGGGAGTACTGGAGCTGCTGGGCCTGCGGGTACTACTGGAGCAGGTGCTACTGCGTCTTCTCGTGGTCCGACTGGAGCTGGAGCTACTGAGGGTGTTGGCGCTGAGGCTACTGCTGTCGGTCCTGGAGGCGGTCCTGCTGGGGGTGCTACTGGTGCTGCTGGAGGTACTGGAGTTGGAGGTGCTGCTGGCGCTGGTGCTACCACTTGGGGTACTGGTGCTGTCCCTGCTGTGTCTGGAGTCGCTGCGCGGCCTCGACCGTACTTCGTTCCGCTCCTTGAGCAGGTTCTTGGTCTCCCGCCTTCTACTGTTCCTCCTCCTCCCTTAGAGTGTCCACAGCCTGTCCCGTCACAGTTCCAGTTACAGCCGGCCTCCCCACTGCCTGCTCCTTCTCCCTACACTGGTCCTACTGGAGGTCTTGCTGAGCGTCGTGAGCCTGCGTCTCGCCCTGCGTCGCCTGTCCGTGCTGCTCGCACTAGTGGTCGTGGTTCGCGTCAGCGTCCTCCTCCTGTCCCTGGCACGCACCGGATGTCTCTGCGTCCGTCCACTGCTCCTCTGCGTGCCCCTTTGCCTTCTCCTCCTGAGTCCTCTCTTCCTGCTCTTCCCGACCCGGAGTCGGACTCTCTTCGTGCTGCCAGTCCTACTGTCACGCGTCTCCTTGCTACTGTTGTCACTGACCCTTCCTTTGAGTCCACTGCTGCGTCTGCCCTAGTTACTGAGCTCGTCGACTTTGCTGCTCGCTGTCGTCTAGACTACGCTGCTAGTCTTGTTGCTGAGTCTGAGTCTGTCTGTCCTCCGTCCGTCGGGGGTGAGTGTGCCCTTGGCACGGACGTCCTTGAGGACAGGCAGGAGGAGTTCCAGTGTTTGGCTGCTGTTTCACCTCATCTCGTGTCCGTACTGCTTACCCCTGGGGGAGACACGGATGCACTTGACATCCCGACTCCGCGCTCCTACGCGGAGGCGATAGAGGGTCCCTACTCCTCTCAGTGGCAGGCAGCCATGGACGCAGAGATGGCTTCCTGGAAGTCCAAAGGCACCTACGTTGACGAGGTTCCCCCACCTGGGGCGAACATCGTCAGTGGCATGTGGATTTTCAGGGTGAAGCGGCCGCCGGGTTCTTTGCCTGTCTTCAAGGCGCGTTACGTGGCTCGTGGCTTTAGTCAGCGGCAGGGAGTTGACTACTTTCAGACCTTCTCTCCCACCCCGAAGATGCTGCACATAGCTGCTCACCGTGACTACGAGCTGCACTCTCTTGACTTCAGCACTGCTTTCTTGCAGGGCAGCCTGCACGAGGAGATCTGGCTGCGTCGCCCACCTGGCTTCACTGGGTCTTTTCCTCCTGGCACCCAGTGGAGCCTCCGGCGGCCAGTCTACGGTCTCCGCCAGGCACCACGTGAGTGGCACGACACACTAAGGACTACACTTGCGGCTCTTGGGTTTGCTCCCTCTACTGCCGACCCGTCGCTGTTTCTGCGCACCGACACTTCTTTGCCGCCGTTCTACATCCTCGTGTACGTCGACGACTTGGTCTTTGCCACAGCTGACACTGCTGGACTCGCCCACGTGAAGTCCGAGCTGCAGAAGAGACACACGTGCACAGACCTGGGTGAACTGCGCAGCTACCTTGGCTTGCAGATCACCCGGGACTGAGCACAGCGCACCATCACCCTGACTCAGTCACACATGGTGCAGCAGGTCCTTCAGCGCTTCGACTTCACGTACTCCTCGCCTCAGGCCACTCCTCTGTCTACTCGCCACTCGCTCTCAGCTCTGCCTTCGGATGAGTCCGTAGAGCCGAGTGGCCCGTAACCAGAGCTTGTTGGCTGCCTCATGTACCTGATGACCTGCACACGACCTGACCTTGCATACCCTCTTAGCATTCTCGCACGCTTTGTTGCTCCTGGGAGACACAGACCGGAGCACATGGCTGCAGCAAAGAGGGTGTTGCGCTACTTGTGCAGTACGTCGGGCATGGGGCTTGTGCTTGGAGGGCAGAGTCCAGTGGTCCTCACTGGGCACGCAGACGCTTCTTGGGCTGACGACCAGGCTACGCAGCGGTCGTCACAGGGTTACACCTTCAGCCTTGGTTCCGGCTCTGTTTCGTGGCGGGCTACCCGCTCGTCCTCTGTTCTCGGCTCCAGTTGTGAGGCTGAGATCTACGCAGGAGCCATGGCTGCACAGGAGCTTCGCTGGCTCACCTACCTGCTGACTGACCTCGGAGAGCCGCCTCGTTCTCCTCCAGTGCTGTACGTAGACAACAAGGCCATGCTGGCCTTGTGTCGGGAGCAGAGACTGGAGCACAGAACGAAGCACATTGCTCTTCGCTACTTCCTTGCTCGTGAGCTACAGCAGCGTGGTCAGCTGCGTCTTGCGTACGTGGCCTCTCAGGCCAACACTGCTGATATCTTCACCAAGGCACTTGCGCCTTGTGATCATCAGCGCTTCTGTACTCAGCTTGGTCTTGTGCCTGCTTTGCCTCACTTGCTCACCCCTTGACCTTGTTTGTACTGTTTCATATATATATATACACCTGCTCTTGCTTGTCTAGCCTTATATATATATGTAATCCTGCATGTAAACTGGCCTTCTGGCCTTGAACTTGTGCTCGGAATGTGTGGTGACTTTGTGATCCACCCTGAGCTTGCCTTGCTTTGCTTGACTGGTCTTGTGACCCATTGTTCTCCCCCACTTTGCCTATGGGGGTGTGTCAGATTTATATGACATAGCTGCTGTAGGCTGTAGTGGGGTAGCACATATGGGGTACAGTTTTCTAGGGTTTGCACTTGTACCCACCTTTCCCTTAGTCAATCTCATTTCCTCGACATTTCACATGCACCTCGGCGGTGAGTTCCCCGGATCTCGTTTGACGAAGATGCACAGGCTTCCCATCCGGGAACAGCGGCCGGTAGGGGCGGGTACGAGCACGACGCGTCACGACAATAGGCGGCTGCGACGATGACCCAGTAGCATTAAACAGCAGGCAAACGCGAAGTTCGCACTTCGGCCTGTACCGGGTGTCTGGCTCCACATTATACGTGAATGGCAAAGTGGTCGCGAGTAGCGGCGTCTCTACGAAGCAGAACACGTCTTCAGGGTGGGCGCGTAGCGACTCTAGTAGCTGCACAAGAGCCGCCATGGCAAGGACACTAGCATGCAGACTAGCGGCCGTGTGCGGTAATATGACGATCGTGTCCAGAAGGGAGGGCATCCTTGTGTGCAGCGGTAAGGCCTGTACGAGGTTGTGCACCTCACAGACGCAATCCGCACCGTGGACAGGGGAAGGACACAATGCCACGTAAGTGTCACACTTGGTGTGCTACGATTGGAGAGACAAGGTAGCGTAGAACACAGGTTGGATGAGGTGTGGCCGTGCACATGTGGCATTTCGGCGGCCACATGTAGAGAATGGGTTGCACAAGTTGGCTCCGCACGTGACTGATGGTTTTAATAAAACTGTTACACGCGATTGAACTGGCCATGTACACTCGGGTGTCATGTTCTGTATAACGAACACGGAGGTTTGTACCCGCAGGGGGGGCACCAGCACATCGAAACCCTAGAAGGAAGCATGCACCCAAAATCCGTGTTGCCCAACATTACAAGCATCAAATTCGTAGTTGTTATGTTCTGGGGGAGGACCTATATGTGTTGTTGTTCATCGCCGACCGTTTAAGGACGTTCATTCTGGTGGCAACCCTGCTCGTTCCATGGACTGGTAAACGGGGACATGTCACTGCATAGTTGCGAAGCGTGTGGTGGGGGTTTCGCTAACAATATCGCGCTGCGGACACACAGGATTTGCCACCCACGCTGTGCGGGCATGAGTTCCCCATCGACGGACGTTATGTACCTTGACAGCCGGGAAGAACATGTGAGAGTCAGAGGTGGTCGGCATGTGGAGATGTCGCATTCCGACTTCGTCACGGTGTTACGCGCAGACGGCCTTACCTATGGTGATGATCTGCAATGGTTGTTCCGTGTCTTCAGAAGCCCGGGGTTGTGCACTCGCGACGCTGACAGGCTGTTGGCTTTGCTAAGGAACCCCCGCTTCTCGCTGCGTGATGTGCATGCATTTCGTTCACTTCACTGACACCCTTCATGTTGTGTTGGCGCTATTGGCATCGTGGGTTGCATTGCCTAGTGTGGCATCAAGAATACGCAAGCGCAGGGGACAACGACCAATCTTATACGTAACATGGGATGAGCGGTATGTGTGAGAAACGCTAGTGGAGGGCTGCAGATGGTGTGTTGGGACGGGCTGTAGTGTTAGGCAGTGTGAGTTGTCATAGAGTTTATGGAGTATGCATTATTGTGAAGGACACTCGGCATGCTGTTAGTGCTGGTATATGTGCCTAATTTGCAATCATTGAAGTAATTAGACACAAATATTTAAATGTGTTTGTTGGACTATTACATAGTGTGGGAGACACAATTTGTTGCGCGATGACGGGGTGTGATGCTGACGCGTATGTGGTGGTGTATGTGTGGACATGTCGTGACAAGTCTCTTTCCGGCGAGCTGGGGGAAACATGGTATGAGCATTCTCGCTTCTCCTGTGCGAAAGTGATGTTACCAAAAACGAAATGCGTTCGCATCATGAAACGTTTTCGCTGCATTCAATCCGGGTTCAACTGCCACGTGTGATAGGTTCATTACCCAGTTCGTCGAGGTTGGAAGAACCGAGGAGGGTTGCTGATGTGTCAGGGTTCACTCCAGGTTGTGCCATGCTGAAACAGTGTGTGACCCGTTGGGACCGTGGTGTATTGAAAGGGTGGGTGCAATAACACAAATTAGGGTTTCCCCCCTCGGCTGCAGCTATGTTAGGCAACGCTTGCGAAGCCTGCGGCTTAGAACACGTTGACGACAACACGCTGCAGTCACACCTGGCACGCAGTAAGCAATGCCGACGGAAGATACACCAAGCAAGGGCGGAGCGCCTGGTGGAGGCGTACCGGGAGGCTATGCGTGCTATGCGGGGCGCACGAGCGCCGTCACCGGTAAGGACACGTCATTCCGAGATGGAGCCGGATGCAAGCGAGGGCATCGAAGAGCATCATGAAGAGGATGAGCGGCGAGGAGCAGCCGTACCGGATGCGGATGACGATGGGAGCGATGTTAGCAGCGTGGACGAAGGGTTTGATACGTTGACGGAGATGTACATATTCTTCCGGGACGCGGACCTATCAAGAAGAGAGGTTAACAGGCTACTCACCATTTTTAGCAACCCACGGTTTTCGGTGAGGGACGTCAGGAGATGGCTGAACTATGTGGACGTGAGGCGCTTTGGGAAGGCTATGGCGCCGCCTGACCTCGTGCCGTGGTTGAAGACGGAGATAAAGTGCTATGGACCCGGAGGAAAGATGGCGAGACTGCCGCTGCACTACCGGAACACGGGACTGGTGAGCGGACGGTGGGAGGTAGTGGTGTTCTAGTAGACCGCTCAAAGAGGTTGCGCTTACTGCATTTTGATGTAACCAAGGGTAGGTTTGCCATGTCCCGCTTGACAGTTGGTGCAGAAGCTGGTGCGGACGTTCATCCACTCGGAGGGTTTCGTGACAGAGCCTCGGACAGACAAGGATGATTGCGAGGGGAAAAGGCATTTCAGCACTCCTGACACGTGCATTTGGATGGAAAAAGCGCATGTGAGTAGGTAGGATGCTGCTCAGGAAGTGCTATTGTGTGGTGTGGCAAAGATGCGCGTGGTGGTTCATATCGATGTGTGAACATGGTTTGTGATAGCAAATGGGTTCGTAACGTGTGCAGGCTGCGCGTCCGGACCAGAAGGGGATGATTCTGGGTGTTATAGTGTACAGCGACAGCACGCACGCTTCGTCAAACGGGAGGCTACAAGCGTGGCCGGTCCTGATAAGCCTCTTCAACATACCGGAGAGTCTGAGGTGGCTTGAACCCGGACACGTGCTCGCAGGTGTGCTCCCGTTTCCTCCGGAGTGGGCGTCGGCCACGGAGAAGACGCGGGTATTCCAGGAGGCTATGGCTGTCATTTTTTAGCCACTGCTAAGGGAGCACAGAGGGTGAGTGTCGTGAATGCGTTTGTGGTCGGATAGCGATGACGTGGTGATGTATGACAGTGTGTCGATGGCCATGTCGTTGGCAGGGCGAAACTCAAGTTCATCTACGTCACGGATGCGTCGGGGAAGGTGGTGAAGGCGTACCCTTGTTTGTTCGCGGAGGTCGGGGACTACCCGGAGTCGTCTCGTTGCACTGCGACGATGCAGCAGAGGTCACACAGGCCATGCAGCTCGTGCTACATTAAGAGGGTGCATCTGGCGGAGCTGAGGACGGAGACAACAGTGCGCACGGCCGATCTGCAAAGGCGCACGGTGGAGGCTATTTTGAATGCACCCTCGAGCGACAATGCTGACAAAATAATGCGCAGGTGGTCGACACACCCAGTGCATGTAAGAGGGGCTGATGTGATGGTCAATCAGAGTGTTTGGGTGGATGTGTTGTTACAGACGTACGTAATGTACCATGTGTGGATTGGTGAGCGGCAGAACCGGGGTACTGTCTAGTTGACCGGGAACCATTCTTCTGTGTAGGGCAGTGTTTCCTGGAGAGGTGGAATTTCGCGGACACGGAGTGGGGGAATGTCTTCCTGGCATGCGTCGCGGACATATTGCACGTGCTGGACGGCGGGATGTTGGGGCACCTCACGGACATATTCATCAAGGGGAAAAGCAAGCCGGAGAGGCGGGAGTTTGAAAGGTGAGGGACGTCGTGTCAATAATAAGTGCGTGTACGTACAAGGTGCCTTGGTAGTGACTCGGAGCCACTGGTGTAACATGTGCAGGCGCAAGAAAGAGCAGAAAAAGGACACGAGGACAACGGTTGTCCGCATCCCAGGGGGGGCATCCTGGTTCAGGACACGGGCGAACTATGCGGCGTTCGAGACCCGAGGGATGATGCAAGTGATGCCCATTCTCATCGCGGACAGCATGGACGGCTGCAAGCCGAAGGACGTGGAGCAGCGGACGAAGGAGGTACGGGCGTTCAGGAAGTACGCAATGTTCTACAAGGCACTGGTGGGCGTCGCAAAGCACACGGAGCAGACGCTGCGTCATGTCCGCACGGCTGCCTACGCGTGAGTGCCAGGGGGGGAGGGGGAAGAGGACGGGTTGGGGTGCCAGAGGGTTGTAGGGGTAGGGGGGGGATGCCATTGGGGGGTGGGTGGGGAGGGTGGGGGGGTGGTGGAAGAGAAGTACGTAGGGCTGGTGAAGGAATAGTGGTTTCTGACAGTGGGGGCGGTGGATTCGGGACCCCCTGTTGTGTGGGTTGTCGCAGCACGTGCGACTGTCGTGGCACGTGGTGTGGTGTAGAGGAGGGGAAGGGAGGGGGGGTCGGGCGACTCGTGTGGTTATGAATTGGGGGGTGTTCGAGTGATACAAGGTATGATCTACGCATCACAGCCACTGTGTGGGTGCATGCTGAACTGTTCTGCTTGCAGGATGATGGACGCTATCGGGGATGCTTTTCCGGATCAGAAGTCGTCGTGGAACTTTCCGAAGGTGCACCAGATTGTGCACCTTATTGATGCCATTCCCCTCCGGGGGATGCCGTGGGAGTACTCCACCAACCTCTGGGAGCACACGCACAAGGGAACGGTGAAGGTCCCGGTCCGGGGCAGCAACTGGAAGGACATTCCACGGCGCATCGTGGAAGAAGAAGTGCAGCGAGAGATCACTCGAGAGGTGGCGGCTCTGGCGGGGGGGGGGGGGGGCGACAGTACGTGACGGCGTTGCGCGAGGTGAGCAGGGCCCACCACCGCGAGGCCATGGGGTTTTTTAGTTGAGGACGCGCGGGATGGGTGGAGACGGCGCTATCTAGACGATGGTGATGAAAATGCATGTAGCGCAGGGGGGGGGGCGCTGGGGGGAGGGGGGGGAGTACACACGGCTTGGCATTGGGGAGTAGGGCTGTGTCGTATTATTGAAGGACATTGCGATGTGTGCTGTGTATGCTGTTGTGCGTGTACAATCTGGCGTGTGTTGTTGAACCCATGTGGACACCACGGCAGGCCGTTCGGCTTCAAGGGCACATTCTGACGCGGCGGTCGCGATGTGCCAATGTGCGGAACGAAGAGGACCCCGTGCTGTGGGTGTATCATGAGGCTTTTGGTTCGGACATGGATGGGCTTGGAAGATGTCTCATTGATGCCGGGGTGAACGCCCCGGACATCAAGGTGAGATGTACTGTGGTGTAAGTGCAGTGTATACGTAAACATCTGGTTGAACGCACTGCGGTGTGCAAGCAGGGGATACAGCTGCCGGAATGTGATGGGTGGGGCCGTTTCATGACCAGAGTGCTCTGTTGCATGTGTTATGTAGGTGCACACGGCGCTGGCGATTCCGAGAACACGTGGAGGGGAGCTGGTGGCCAAGGGCACATTTGTGAAGGCCAGCCCATCTGAGAAGTGGTTCTCAGATGTGGCAGTGAAGGCTGAGAAGAAGGAGAAGGAGAAGGAGAATGAGTGGTACGCAAGGTGCTTGTGCGTGTTCCGTGCGAAGAACGCAGAAGGAGAGGAAGGGGCGTACGTGTACGTCAAGTATTATGAGGCGGCGGGCCTATGCCCAGTCACTACATGTGTGCAGCTGACGCCTGGGAGGGTGGACACCCGGTACGCTGTGGTGGACGTGGAGTGCATCAAGCGGGTGGTGCACGTGTGCAAGTCTTACGTCAACAAGAAGGTGCTGCTGCTGAACAAGTTCCTGTTGTGCGAGTAGTTGGTGAGGTATGAGGTTGGACGCGCTCACGGACGTGCCTATCTTGTTATTACTGGCTAAATTTTAAATGTTGTTGAATCACGTAGAGTAAGTAGTGGCATGATAAGTTATGAACAGATATGCTCGGGGCGGATGATGTTAGTGAGACTGGTAACGTCGTGGTCTTGAACAATAAGTTGAGGGGTAGTGTACAATTATTCAATGTGGTGTCATGAAGCGAGGGTGTCTGAAATGCGAATGTGTGGGCGCGGAAGCTCTTTTTTTAACGTGCCGCTCTCTGTTTTCCGCAAGCGACTCGTGGTCCGTGTGAAATTTGCGGTCCGAGGGTGGAGGGCTCGGGAATGTGAGCATGCGGGTGTGCGTGACATTCCTGTCACAAAGTTGGTGGGACAAATATGGTGGGTTTGGGGACTTTATGTAGAGTTTTTCGTAGAAAAACCCACGGAGGCCAAATTTGGGCGATCAACATTTCCGCTATGTTTGACTTATGAGAGAACATCAGTACACCCTCTTTCTCATCCTTTTCACATTGCGCGTTTCGTCGCTACAGTAGTTGTCTCTTGCAATCTGGTGCCATTAAACGTTCCTGGCAAATTGGGGGGAAAAGCCGAACCACGTGACAAACTGGCTCAAGGGCGTAAAATTTCCGTGATCGCTGTATACCCTTCCCAGCTAAATGAAAACGTTGACAAAGCTGTTTGTAAAGTGCATCACCTAACCGCATTCTTCGCATTGTGCTTGTACAGTAGGTGACAAGACCGTTCTGAACGTGGTGACGTTCTACAACCCGTGTATGTTCTGCAACCAGATGCTCTACTAGCGCGAAAGAGGGTGTACAGGCCATCGTCACGCGGGCCCCGAAACATGCCAAGGTAGGGTTTGCTTGCTGCAAGACGAAAAGGCCGAACCATCACCAACTTTGACGGAACAGTGTTCATTTCGTTATTAGCATGATTGTGTACTCTCGGCTGTCGATTCTGTAAATACCATTCAGATTGCTACTAAAAAGTTTTGACAAAATGTGCAGATACTACACAAAGCGGAATATTCGAATGCTTGCGGTAATAAGTGTGATTTATGAAGGTAGGAATAATCGTTTCTGTTACGAATAGTAAAAGATGAAGTGTTACTGTGCACTCATGACAGTAGCAATCGAAGCATGCAGCACCGGGGCTGAAGACGAAAAGGCGGAAGCGACGGGAAGGGTCATTCATACGGTTACGAAGCATAAGGACTGTCAAGGCAGACAGCATCAGACAGCAGCAGTGGCGAGGATTCTGCCCGGACAGTTTCGTAACTGTCTGGATTCGCACGGTTGGGTTTTGATGCAATAAGGGAATGTACCTCTTAGAGTACATGGCTAGCTAGGTCGCTTCGCATCTCATCTTGTACTCTTAATTTCATCATTGTATCTGCATGTTTTAATTATCGCAATCATTTTATATTCACTCTGAATTGAGGTCAAGGGCCCACCACTACCAATCAATTATGTGCAAACCTTCATGAGGTGATCCTAGGGTCGATCAGCAATTGATCGCAGCATGGTAACAGAGCGACTCGGGAATCCTTCACACTGCCACCTCCGAAATCTTCAGCGAACGAAAGGCGGCGTCCGGCACACGCCCGCGTATGAGAATGGCTTGAGGATCAGGTGGTCAGACGAACCTGACGGCTGAAGCGCAGCCCAATCCGGCTGCAACAAGCGAGGAAATGATGACGATTGGAACCGCCGTCCTTGCACAAATGCTTCAGCGACTCACCAGCCTGGAGCAAGGACTCCAAACATTGTGGAATGGTGACGCGGGAACTTCTTCCCAACCCTCTCAACCAGCCTCAACTGGCCAGAATACCACCCCGCACACCTTCTCCCTCGACACAAACAGCTCAACTCCCAAGACTTCCCGTCCCAGCGAAGAAGCAATTCAATCTGCTCAATCAAGGATTTTGAGCATATCAGAAATAAAGAAAAGTGTGTGCTTTGACTGCAGAGACTTCTATACGTGGAGCTTCAAGCTGGAGCTGCTGCTGCAAAACGCACGGATATTCCACTATTTTTACGAGAGCTACTCGGGACCCGCTGAAGACACCACTGACGCCACGGCTCAATATTACAACGAGTCCCTGATGGCGTACGGCGTCCTGCTACGGTGGCAGAGCAGTTGAGCATTCGATCGTACAAAACATCACCTACTCCAGCCCTCGATGCTTGGCCCCACCTGAACGGCGTGCACCAACCGAAATATTCGGTTTGATCGAGCCGCCTACTCCAACAGCTACTGGAGACAAAAATGGCCCCAGGGGAGAAGGCCAATAGCTACATAAAAGGCTTTCGGAACTTACACGATCAAATCGCGAAATTGGGAAGCAACATCTTCGAAAAAAATCTTCGTGAACATTGTGCTTCAAGGGCTCAGCCTAGAATGGCAGCCCTGTAAGGCGCTTCTCCGACAGCAGGGGGTTATCTCGGAAGGCGCCCTAAGCGCCGCCCTTCTCGTCAAACAAAGGAATATGGATCAGCAGCGACCAATGCCGCGACCAGACCGGGAATGCCTCGCCTTCTACGCATACAATACAGAAGAGCGGCAGTCGCGACGCCTTTATTGCAGAATCAGTAAAAACTTCGGGCATCTAGCAGATCGATGCAATTTCCGATCTCGCCCTCGCCAGACCAATCCGAGCACCTGGTCCGGCTGACAAGACGCACGAAACGACACGCGTCAAGCCCAGGGGCACCAACCCCCATCGCGCAACCTGAACCCAGCGGTTCAGCATCAGAAGTAGCAGCCGTCACAGACTACCCCCTTCCGCAACGTCATCGACAACATGACCATGACAAGCGGGTTGTGTCGTCCCCGCGTGCTCACGCCGTCACCTGGGCCAACACGCCACCCAATCGAGGCGTTCACGGACAATAATCCGTTCAGCACTCACCACGATTTCTGCGACGACGACAAACAGAACTGGAATCTCCCAGTTCCGCTGCTTGAAAGCCCTCCGCACGTACCTGATACGCGGGCGGCTCTGATTGATTGAATCTCATGCGAGCAGTTCCTCCAGTTTGACACACCGCACATCGTTACCCTACGGTTGGCGCTGCTCACACGTAACGACAACAGGCACTACAACACGTGGTACCTGGATAGCTGCCGTGGGCAGCATATGGTGGGCTTTGAGCGTTACATATCCAACGCCGTCCCCACTCCCACAGTGACCTATGTCACCGTGACGAACAACGCACGTCTACGCGCTAGCGCGCAGAGGATCGTGGTTTCTCTAGGCCAGAGGGAGCAGGATGCACATCACGCTGAACGACGTACTGATTGTGCAGAATTTGCACTTCAACCTTCTCTAGGCGGCGCAACTCATGGATTGCAGAGTTGACCTCAGCACTGACCCCGAGACGCGCGACATCTTTCTCCACTACCCCGCGCCGAACACGGCGCGCAAGATGATCGGACGAGCGCACTCAGAGAATGGAGTTTACATCATCAATTTTGATATTCCCGACTGCAGCGGCGATACGCAGGAGTTAATCGATCTTGTTCCACTGCGCTTCGAGCACATCCACCATTCGGACTGGAAACACCCCGATGGAAGACCGTAGGTGCCGCACCATGTCAAAATGTGATGTTTGTGTAGCCTGCACTGGGGTACTTTATAGCGAGTACAGCCCGAATTAGGGTTTGCTATATGTACTCAACTGCATGCTAGTGAAAAACTCTCTTTCCTGTTTCTGATTCTTGCCTAGCCTTTCAACATGCTATCAGAGCAGGTCGACCCTCCTGGGTCGATCCTGTGGGTGGGCCCCACCCGATGCTTCCGCTGCTCCACTGCCTGTAGCGCGCCCTGGGCGCGTGCTGTTTCCTGCCTGCTGCGCGCTCCGGGCGCGCAGTGATTTTTCTTCCCGCCGCGCGCCCCGAGCGTGCGGCGGTTTTCTGCCCCGTCGAACCGCGCGTCGCCCCCTGTCGACCGCCGCGTCGCCCCCTGTCGACCGCCGCGTCGCCCCCTGTCGACCGCCGCATCGCCCCCCGTCACCCGATGCGGCCCGCGCGACCTGCGCCAGGCCCGCGCGCGGCCCGTACGGGCTGCGCCAGGCCCGCGCGCAACCCGTACGGGCTGCGCCAGGCCCGTGCGTGGCCCGTACAGCCCGCGCACGGCCCGTACGGGCTGCGCCAGGCCCGCGCGCGGCCCGTACGGGCTACGCCAGGCCCGCGCGCGGCCCGGGCAGCCCGCGTGCGGTTCGTCCCGAGCTTCTGACCGCGCCCCACTCCCGCTGCTGCCCGCGCTCCTGTGTTAGGGTTTAGGGGTGGAGAGTATGGGGGTGCCGGCTGTGTGAGCCGTCCCCTGCTCCTCCTCCTCCTCCGTCTCCCACTGCTACAGCTGCCGCTGAGGGGGGTGGATGTGTTGGAGCCGTCGGAGTGGTACGAGGGGGGTGGCGTGTGAGCAGTGCTAGAGGTGCAGCAGGGAGTGTGTGAAAGGGGTGTGGGACAGTTGGGGGAGGTTGACCGGAGGTAGCCGACTTGTCGTCCGCAGCGCCTGGAGTCCAGAGAGCCACGACCCCCTGTAGCCTGAGTAGTCCGGGGCTCTGCGCCCGGTAGCCACAGTGTGAGCATTCCTAGTAGTCCAGAGAGCCACGATCCCCTGTGGCCTGAGTAGTCCGGGGCTCTGCGCCTGGTAGCCACAGTGTGTGCACTCCTGGGAGCACAGTGAGCCAGCTGCGTCTGTCGCCGTGTAGTCCGGTTTTAGCCTGGTAGCGACAGTGCTGCGCACTCTTGCTGCCTGTGTGTCTGCAGCTTCAGCCGTTGCCTCCCATCTTCTCGCCCTCACAGTTTCTCCTCCTCCTCACTTGCCCTCTGTGACTGCCTCTAGCTTTGCTTATAATTGTGAACTACTGCTCTGCCTGCTTGTTGTATTGATTGTACCCCACTTTGACTATGGGGGTGTGATGTTTGTGTAGCCTGCAGTGGGGTACTCTATAGCGAGTACAACCCGAATTAGGGTTTGCTATATGTACTCAACTGCATGCTAGTGAAAAACCCTCTTTCCTGTTTCTGATTCTTGCCTAGCCTTTCAGCACACCACCTACACCCACGTGAGCTGGCGCTGCATGACCCAGACCCTGACGGCATCTGCAGAGACTGCCACACGCCCACTCCCTCCACTAGTGCGATTGCCGGCCGTGGTCTTGCCGCCATCGCTGAAGCAGAGCGACTCGCGCCTCCCGAAGAAGGAATGTCAGCCTTGGAGCTCAAAATCGCAACGCACGGTATTTTCCGAATGGAGGAACATCCCCTCCCCGAACTAGCATCGCAACACCTTCACCCCATCCTGTGTGGCACCGGTGTTGGCACATTCGATACGCACCACGTGCCGCGACCTTACACAAAGGAAAAGTTCATGGAGATCTATTCCCACCGACGCGACCTTACGAAGAAGCTTACCGTGGCGCAAGAAGAAGAACTGGTGCGATGTGGAGCGGAAGAACTTCGCCAGCGGAGCCTTGCGGAGTCGCGCGGAATGTTCGCCTGGAGTGGATGGGAAGAAGAAGAGGAGAGCGCCTCCAATGAAGGGGGGTGGGGAAGCGCTGGTGGATGGGGTACGAGCGACACTGGCGGATGGGGCGCTGCATCTGGCGGCAAGACAAGCGGCTGGGGCACTTCCAGCGAAGGCTGGGGAACTTCTCGCGAAGACCAAAGGGGGGGAGAAGAAGAAGAGGAAGAACCTCCTGTTGTTCCTCTTGGTTGCCCTCCGCGCCGCCCTGCACCTGCACTACCACCACCTGACATCCAGCCACACCGCGACCCTTGGGACACAATCGACTAGGGTAACGAGCCCTCTATCCCGCGGCACACCATCTACGGGCCTGACCCCGAGCCGCGCGAACCAACCTTTACCCCTGGAACCATCCCTGGGACCAACATCCCCTTCTCCGTAATTCTTGACAGAGAATTCTTAGCGCTGATGCTGACCACGGTGAACGGCGACAAAGAAGGAGCTGACGAAGTGACATCACAACCCGCCACAACACTATATGCGTACTTCCGGACTCCGTGCCAATGATGACCTTTGGCACCAGCGCCTCGGTCACGCCTTGCGCGTAACGCTGAAAAACTTCATCGAAGCTGGGGTATCTGCGCCTGGCGCACTTCTGCGCCCAGACGGCACCGAAGTGAGAAGCACGACACAGCCGCGCATCTGCACCATCTGCCCCGAAGCTGCGCTGAGTCATCAGCTATTCCCGCTGCTCGAACCTGGAACCAACCGCTACCTCAAGCTGCACAAGGTGTACAGCGACTTCCTCAACATGGGCCATTGTGGAATCAACGACGAGCTGTACACGCTCACCTACGTCGACGCAAGGATGCGCTATGTCTGGATCATGAACGTGGAGGCGCGCAACAGAGCGTACGAAGTCTTCCGCCTTTGGCTGGCGCACGCGCAGCGGTAATCTGGGGAGAAGTTGAAAATCTGGCAATCGAACGGCGCAGCGGAATTTAGGAGCAAGGAGCTGCATGATTACCTAGCGCAGAAGGGAATCGATCACCACATTTCTCTCCCCTTACACGCACCAGCAGCAAGGCGTAGCTGAGAGCACGAACCGTACGCTCATGACGAAGGTGCGGGCGCTAATGAAGCATTCGAATCTTCCGCCAATATACTAGACCTACGCAATGCACCATGCCGTGCGGGTGCATAATCTGCTATATACCACCGCCATCACCGGCAATCTATCCCCGCATCTGAAGTGGACGGGGACCAAGGGCGACACTTTCATGCTCCGCGCGTGGGGATGCATGGTGCAGTACCATGTGCCGACATCAATTATTGGGAAATTTGCAAGCCGCGCGCGCTTGGGTATTCACCTCGGCATCAGCCATGAACACAAGGCGTGGCTCATCTTGGACCGCACCAGTCAGAAGGTCACGAATGCGTGCAACGTCATCTTCTACGAGCGGCTCTTCCTCGAGCAATTCCGCGAAGACGAGTGGGCGAACGCGAATCGCGTTTACCATGCCACACCCGAAGACGAAGCCGCCGTGGCTATTTTGGAGTAGGCCACCAGAGGCGAATTCACAAGAGGCGATCGCCTCAGCAGCGACGACGACAACGACGATTCCCCTGGAGGAGGAATCGGCAGAGCAGGAGGAGGAAGCGGCAGAGGCGGAGCACCGCCAGCATCGCTTGAACCAGAGAGGGACGATGATGACGTGTAGGAGGTCATCCCGCAGCATCGCCACGACAGCACTGTTTCTGGACTGCAGCTTCTTGGGCTCCACACCGCCACCTCAACGGCACCACGTGTCATCGAGCCGAATAGCCCGCGCCACGCACTCACAGGACCACACAACAAGGAATGGCGCGAGGCGATGGATGCGGAAATCAAGGCACTTGAGTCCCGCGACACCTGGGTGCTTGTCGATCGAGCGGCAATCAAGGGGAGAAGGATTCTCTCCGGGAAATGTGTCTTCCGTGTGAAGACCGCAGCGGATGGCACGATCGAGCGATTCAAAGCGCGCTGGGTCATACACGGATACGACCAGAGGCACGGCATCGACTTTGACCAGACGTTCGCGCCAGTCAGCTGTCACACCTCCATCAGAATCCTGCTCGCCATCGCCACTGCAAGGCACTTACCACTTCGACAGATCGACGTGAAGACCGCATTCCTCTACACGTTAGTGGATGCCGCAATCTATGTGGAGCAGCCGCACACGTACGGCGAAGAAGATTCACGCGTGTGCCAGCTGCGAAAATCCCTTTACGAGATTAAATAGGCGCCAAGGCTCTGGCAGCAGTACCTGCAAAACATCCTGCTTGAGATCGGCTTCAAGCAATTGCCTCACGATCCCCATTTCCCCATTCTAATGGGAGGAAAGCGGCGAATGGGGGGGAAGGGGAGAGAACAACAGGTAGATTGGGAAAAAACGAGTAAGGCATTTAGTTGAAAGGTCCATCAGACGAAGTCCCTTGCACTAGGTTCGTCTGCCACCAGACCTCGTGCCTTACCCATCACATGTGCCTCGCTGGTTGAACCTTTGAGCCAGCAGCTGATCAAGACAGCACCAGAGCGAGTGCGTGCAGTGCAGTGTAGCCCCTACACACTCCTGCAGCGAGTGTGGGCAGTGCAGTGTAGCCCCTACAGCCTATGAAGGCGAAGCTATCGTCTGTCAGCGGCGCCACCTTGCCAGTTCCTACCTGTACGCAATACTTGTTACCCTGTCAGTACCAAGGCCCTACACGTGCTATGATACCCGTGCAACAGCTGCTACCCGTGCAACAGCTGCTACCCGTGCAGCAGCTGCTACCCGTGCAGCAGCTGCTACCCGTGCAGCAGTTGCTACCCGTGCAGCAGTTGCTACCCGTGCAACAGCTGCAACCTGGATGGCCTTCGCCTTGAGGCGCCATTGTGGACATGCAACCTGCACCACTCAGGCCCCAGCATAGCACATCCCAGCACGGCATGTCACGGCACAGCACGGGACGGCACACCACACCACACCACACCACACCACACCACGGCCCCTTCTGCAGCAGCACAGCATGCGAGCACCTCGCCCATTCACCTTGAACCTCTCGCACGTTGTATCAACTACTGCAGCAGCTCAACAACCCCACCTAGCCAACAAGAGCCTTTGTGCTGCTGATGCACGCATGACACGCGTGATGCATCCACCAGCCGCCAACACTGAGGTGTGCTGTGATGTGCTGATGCACGCGTGTAACATCAGAGGCCACCCACCCAATGCGACATCCACAATCATCACAATGACATCAAAACACCATCTCGCCATCTCACCATCTCACCATCTCACCATCTCACCATCTCACCATCTCACCATCTCACCATCTCACGGCAGTGCTCTGCTGTCTGATGCATCGCCCTCCACTCTGGGAAGGATTTGGGAGACGGGGAAGGGATGGAAGGATGGGAAAGGATGAGGGAATCTCGAGAACATGGGTGAACGGGAGGGGATGAGAGTAGAGGGATGGGTGAAGGAAAACGGATGAGATGAAGGGGCAGGAGAGGATGAGGGGGGGATGGGGCGGAGGGAATGGAGGGGCGAGCAGTACGAGGCAATTCCATTTCCAATCCCACACCCTGCTGAGTGCACTCACGCACCCTCCGCCAATCCCATACCCTCCTCTACCACCCCCTCCATATCCCCCTCCTGACGTGCCTCCACCTCCGCCTCCCCCCTGTGGCGTTCTCCCCCCACCCCAGCAGTCCCCCCCACCCGGGTCCCCATCCCCTGTCCCCCCCAATCCCCGCTTCCACCACCCGGCTCACCACCCACTGTTCCCGCCTGAGCGGAAGCAGAGAGAAGGATTGGCACCCATGCAGCTGGGGGGAAACCCGCTTTCCCCCCGGCCCTCAGCCGGGCCCTCCCCCCTCGCCCGCTGCTTCGTTGGCAAATCCCCTGCCTGCTACAGCTGCTGCTGCCGTTGCTTCTTTGTCTGAAACTCGTACTGAGGCACACAGTATGGGGTATGGGGGTGTGGGCCGGATGGGGAGGGGGAGGGTTGAAAAGGGGGAAGAATAAGGCGAAGGGAGGTGAAATCGACAGTCTTGGACACTTAAGGGGCATAGCAGGCAAAAAGGGGTAGCAGAGTGGCAAGGGAAAGAGAGCGAGAGGCCGTGGAGTAGCGGGCATTGCAAGAAGCTTCGATGCCATACACAACGCCATGCTTCTCCGCCAGGCCAGCGTTTTCCAGGCACTGCAGCAAGAGGCAAGGGAGAGCGAGCATTCCCCAAAACCAGCACCGACCGACTGAATCTGAACCGTGCCTCGGCAATTTCAACAACCAACTGCATAGATCAAACCGACCATTCCAATCCATACAACACTGTGAATTCCTCAGCTGGGTTGTTTCCAGCGAACCAGCAAATAGGCGGTGAGGCACCACTGAAGATGTTGCTAGGCGTGAATCGATGCGAGAAATATTTGTGTTCAAGCTGGTGACCACCAGCAAGTAATCATCCGCTTTCCGTGCCTCATCCGCTTTCCGTGCCTCATCCGCTTTACGTGCCTCATCCGCTTTCCGCGCCTCACCCCTTTCCGCGCCTCTCCCCTTTCGCCTCATCCCCTTCCGCGCCGCATCCCTTTCCGCGCCTCATTCCCTTCCCGCGCCTCATTCCCTTCCCGCGCCTCATTCCCTTTCCGCGCCTCATTCCCTTCCCGCGCCTCATTCCCTTTCCGCGCCTCATTCCCTTCCCGCGCCTCATCCCTTTCCGCGCCTCATCCATCTCTGTCCGCGAGCAGCGCACGCCTCATCGCAAAACAATCGGGCCGCGCGGCTGCCCGTTGGGCTGCGATCATGCCGCGAGCGGAGCACGCCAGAAATGGAGCATCTCTCCGGTCGCGCACTATGCCCTGATTCTCTTTTCCCCCTTCCCCCTTCCACCCCAGTCTCTGCTCCTCCTCACCTCCGCCATCCCGGCGTTGCGTTTCCGCAAGTTGCGCCAGCGGCGGAGCTCTCCCATCCACGAGTCGTGCAATAAGAACCGATTCCCTCGCCGTCGCAGTCTGTGCTCCGTCTCTCCCCTACTCTCCGCCTTCCGCAGTCCCGTCTCGACCTACACTCTTACGCAAACTCGTTACAAGTACAACGAGTGACAGCAACGGCGGTGGCGAATGTTAGCGATGGGAAGCGAAAATTCTGAACCCGTTTCGTTACCCCACCCGAAACTGTGTAGGGGTGGGGGGTATTCCTGCACATAAGCTGTCGGATTTATGACTTTCTGATCGAACGGTTCAAGATCCAGGTCTGTGCTATTCGATAGACAACACACCAAAATTGAATAAGCGCTGAGATATCAAAACGTTTTCAACTCCTCAGCTACGGATATCGATATTCCTTCTACCGCAGCACGTGGATCGCACAATTTCGTTCGGATTCGCGAAAGCAGCGGAATGGGGAAGAGAGAGCGACAGACGCGTCACAAGGAAAGAGGAGCTGCCGTGGAACCCAAATCGCTCGCCCATTGGAGAACTCCAAACCAATTCATTTGTCAAACTCATTTGACTGCATAATTCATTCGTTCACAGCCTGAAAATGAGCGCACCACCGGCGATTGCGGTACTTCGACCATGTGGTCACAATAGAGCTGCGCCGCTCGCAAGGAGCGGCGCCATCCAATCAGACGCACCGAGTCATTCGCGGTGGAGACGTCTGCGATCGGTCGAGTGCACGCGAGGTCTCGCCCATCCCCTCCCACCGCATCCCGCTGATCGCGTCCATCACTTCGCGGCGTCGCTCACATGGCGTCGCATTCTCACTCCCATCTCCCTTGCTCCCCCTCCACCGTGAAATGCGACCCCGTGCTCAACGCATCGAAGTCATCTCTTGTTATTGAGGCCCCCTCACCACAGACTACTAGCTTCCCCCCTTCCTCGCTCTTCACCATCCATCGCCATCCTTCTCTGAGCTTCCTCGCTTCACGCGAATCTCTGACCGGCTTCACGGCGCTTGCAGCAAAGTCGTGCTTGCTTGCTCGATTCTCACCACCCCTTTCATTCGGCGGCATCGGCTCGGCCGCCTTTCCTTGCCTCGAGATTCGTAAGCGCCGCACTGATCGTCGCCACGGCCATTGCGACCATTGCGTGGCACGCACGAGGTTCGCCCGTCAGCGTCGCTTTCTGCTTCAATCCCCATCGCCCGCCCATCTCCGTCACCGTCCGCCATCGCCGTCGCCGCCATGTTGCACCGCCGCGGCGGGCCGTCCGCCCTTGGCGTGGCCGCTGGTCTGTGCCTCGTCGCAGTTTTACTGGCCGCAAACAGCGGCTCCGCGAGCGGCAAGCTTTCCATGACGAACGCGTGGCTGGCCTACAAACCCATCAGCTTTAATAGTCCTGACCAGTGTCATGAGACGAACTTAGCTAGGAACGGGTTTAACTAAGGGCCTAGGCTTAGTAGCCTAGGCCAAGCGGGTGTCGAGGGAGTTGTGCCAAGAGAGAATCGAGAATGTGTGTCTTCACTATAGGTTTGCAAGAACATATAGCAAAGAAACAAAGAGGTGCACCACCACAACAAAGAAACATAACTACACTAAAGCTAAAGCTACAGGCAGTTATAAACATATATAAATATATATTGCGACACACCCCCTTAACTGCCTGCAGCACATAGCTAGAGCAAGTCACACCCCCTGAAGGGGCAGGTGCGGTGGGAGACGGCAGAGGGGTACGTGAGGAGGAGGAGGCAAGAGGAAGAGAGGAGAGGAGAATAGATAAGAACACAGGAGGAGGTGAGTGGGGGATGAGGAGAGGAGGTGGGGGGTGGCCGCAGCGTCCCCTCTTACTAACCCCCTTTTACGAAAGGGGGGGTTGAGTGGGGGATGAGGAGAAGAGGTGGGGGGGTGGCCGCAGCGTCCCCTCTTACTAACCCCCACATCCCCACCCCCAACCAACCACCCGCCCTCAACCTCACCCCCCATTTCAGTCGCCCCCTGGAACCGCACTCCCTTCACCCCTGTCTTCCTCCATACCTCTCCCAACCCACGATGGTCCCTGTACAGTCTTTCACAGGTGGGCTGCTGGGCACAGGTGGGGCTGCTGGTCACAGGTGGGGCTGCTGGTCACAGGTGGGGCTGCTGGTCACAGGTGGGGCTGCTGGTCACAGGTGGGGCTGCTGGTCACAGGTAGGGCTGCTGGTCACAGGTGGGGCTGCTGGTCACACGTGGGGCTGCTGGTCACAGGTGGGGCTGCTGGTCACAGGTGGGGCTGCTGGTCATAGGTGGGGCTGCTGGTCACAGGTGGGGCTGCTGGTCACAGGTGGGGCTGCTGGTCACAGGTGGGGTTGCTGGTGCTGGTGCTGGCGGCTGGCGCTGGTGCTGGTTCCTGGTGTTGGCAGCTGGCATTGGGGCTGGTTCCTGATGCTGGCGGCTGGCGCTGGGGCTGGTTCCTGGTGCTGGCGGCTGGCGCTGGTGCTGGTTCCTGGTGCTGACGGCTGGCACTGGGGCTGGTTCCTGGTGCTGGCGGCCGGCGCTGGGGCTGGTTCCTGGTGCTGGCGACTGGCGCTGGGGCTGGTTCCTGGTGCTGGCGGCTGGCGCTGGGGCTGGTTCCTGGTGCTGGCGGCTGGCGCTGGGGCTGGTTCCTGGTGCTGGTGGCTGGCGCTGGGGCTGGTTCCTGGTGCTGGCGGCTGGCGCTGGGGCTGGTTCCTGGTGCTGGCGGCTGGCGCTGGTGCTGGTTCCTGGTGCTGGCGGCTGGCGCTGGTGCTGTTCCGCCACCACTCCCTTCCCCTCCTCTCTCTCCTTTCCACAGCGTCCCACCGCCACTCCCTTCCCCTCCTCCCTCTCCTCCCCATGGCGACCGCCGCTGCACACGCAAACAGTCGCGACGGGGGGGGGGGGGGGGGGTGACGGGCAGGGGGCGGGGGGAATGCGACGGGCAGAGCGGGCGAATGAGCGGCTGGGGCGATCGCCAGTGCTCTGGCGATCGTCGCTGGCGTTCCCCCGTCACTCCTATCCCCTCTTCCCTCTCGCCCCCACAGAGTTCCGCCGCCACTCCCATCCCTTCTTCCCTCTCCCCCCCCACAGCGACCGCCGGTGCGACGGGCGAGGTGCAAGGTGGCGCTGGCTGCAGTCGATGGCGCAAACGCGATCGCGGGCCGCTGGCGACTTCGCTGGCGACTTCGCTGGCGGGTCGCTGGCGGCGGGTCCGCTGGCGTTCGCCATAGCGTCCGCCGCGCCCGTCGCGCTGAGAGTCGTGACGAGGCAGGAGACGGGGGGCAGCGCGAGCAGCAGGGAAAAAAAAAAGATACGCAAGGTGCGGATTTCGCGCCACTAACTGTAGCAGTCGCGAAATGTGGTGGGCCCATAAACGAAATAGGTCCTAGGACGGACCACTCTGTTACCATGTCAGAATCCCAACCACTAGACCATTGGGATAAAAGGGCTTGTTAAGTAGCGGGTCAGTGCGCCCATAACCCCCCAGGACAACGAGCCTGTAACCCTTCCCTAGGATCAATCGGGGATCACCAGTGGACCTCTGACACCCCCCCGCACTGGGATGCCCGAAGTGCACACGCTGGGATTCGAACTCGAGACCTTCGCTCTGATACCATGTCATGAGACGAACTTAGCTAGGAACGGGTTTAACTAAGGGCCTAGGCTTAGTAGCCTAGGCCAAGCGGGTGTCGAGGGAGTTGTGCCAAGAGAGAATCGAGAATGTGTGTCTTCACTATAGGTTTGCAAGAACATATAGCAAAGAAACAAAGAGGTGCACCACCACAACAAAGAAACATAACTACACTAAAGCTAAAGCTACAGGCAGTTATAAACATATATAAATATATATCGCGACAACCAGTACTTGTATTTCGCGTATGCTCTGTGCTTCGACCGGGACACACGCTACTACGCGGATGCGAGTCTGATTGTGGATTGGGACAACGTGCAAGACCGGCGCTACGCTCCGCCCATGTGCCGCACCGTAGCCTTCCACTACCAGAGCGGCTGCAAGGGCAGCCCCTACCGCACGTTCTTCCGCCCCCCCGACGACGGAAGCTTCCCCATGTCCTCCGAATGGTGAGGCCCCACGTTGCCCCAACACAGTCACCCCTCCTCCCAGCAGCACGTTCACCCTTTTGCGCTTTTCCGCAATTCTACTACTTGCAATCGCGAGCACCTCAAGTACTGTCCCTTCCTCCCCTCCCTCCCACCCTCCCCCCCCCCTCCCCCCCCCCCCGCACTCTCCCATCTCATTCTGCCGCCAGGGACATCCCTGCCGCCCAGCTGCCTGCATCGGTCAAATGCGAGTTGGGTGAGTGCAGTCCTTTGCATGCCATGACTCATGGCATCGAATGCCATGTTGCCACGATGCCAGGAAAGCCAGCCATGTTGCCACGATGCCATTCCAGCGCCCAGGGCCTTTGCTGGGAGCACTCCAGCGCAGGACATCCACTCTCTGCGATCATTGCCGAGGCGAGTATAACTCGTTTTGGTCTTGCTTCGACTTGAATTATCGAGGCGGCTCGACTGAGTCGAGTATTTCCTGCTCAAACCCACCTACCTACTAGTCCAAGGGTCGAGCATTCAGACGCAAAGCGAGCATTTATTCTACTCGTTCCAAGTTGCGGCCTGAGGGTGGGACGAGGAGTACTTGACTCGTGGCACCGTGCCTCTGCACCCCACACCCGCCCCACACCCGCCCCAAACCAAACCTGCCCTACACCTGCTCCGCTACCTGCTTCCCCCATGCCAGGCGCACCGGTCCCCCAGCATCCACTCCACAGCCGTCGTACCCGTGTGCTTTGTGAAACTAGCCGTACGTTCCATACTGGTATACTCATCTTGGATCAATTCGCATGACTGCGTACCCCACAACTGCGTGTGCCCCGACTCTTGAGTCGACTCAAAGGTAGACCCCTCTCCTCCCTGCCTCCCAACATCCCACGGGTGACCCGTAGACTGCCGTCCGGCGATGGACTGCGGGTCAGCGGCGTGTGCGGTAAGGAACGACACCCCGCAGTGCGTGTGCCCCGACTCCCAAGCCTACAGCAGCGCCGAGAAGCGGTGCCGCGGTGAGTGCCACGGAGGGTAATTACTTGCCGTTCAGCCGCCTTCACATATTGATTCCACTTTATTTAACCTATCTCACACCGAAAGCCGGCAGTTGTTAATGAGGTAGTCACGCTTGTTGTCTCCCTGCTCTGACTGCTGGAATGTTCGTTGTTAACGAGCTAGTCACGTTGGTTGTCTGCCTGCTCTGCGGCTGGAATGTTTGTTGGCTTCGCAAGAAGCACTTCACAAGTCCTTGGGGGATCAGTATGCAGCTAGGCATGGTTGAGGCACGGTGCAAATTCATGAAGCGAGTGTACAATAGTATGTGTCGTCCCAACGCCCTGCTCGTGGCATTCAAGGAGGGAGGTGTCATTCACCGGGCCGGGGATAGATGCTCCTCGTTCTTTCTAAACATCACCGCCCTCCTCCCTCCCCTCTCCTCTTTGCACCTTTCGAATTCAATCGCTCCATGCCGTGCCGTTACAGCCTGCAAGCAGGACTGCGGCAGGGTTGCTCGGTGCGTCCTCAAGGGCAGTGATTCGCAGTGCGTGTGCCCGGGGAAACAAATCTTCAACGCCACCGACAGCACTTGCTACTGTAAGCGACGAGAAGCCGTGTGATGCTGATTGCTGATAAGCAGTAAGTTGGTGAGCGCCGATAAGCAGCGAAGTGGTGAACGCTCATAAGAAGTGTTGTGCTGCATGCTCATACCGATCATTACCACGCCCACCATACCCATGCATCCTCCAGAACTGATGTAACGCCATCCGGAGTAATCTTTTACACGGATAAGTGCTCACTGTTGACTTGTGGAATGTGCTCGAGCGTCAAACGTGTGTCCTCCCCTTTCTCCCCGCCGTGCTTCCTCTCCCCCTCAAAGGCAGTGCCGGACCCGTGTGTAGGAGTGACGTGCAGCGACTGGAACGCCCAATGCGTGCGCAAGGGCACCGTATTTCATCCCACCCCACCCCTCCTCTCCTCCCACCCCCTCCTTCCCCCCCACCCGCCCCCAAAGGTAGTGCCGGACCCGTGCGTGGGAGTGAAGTGCGCCGACTGGAATGCCCGGTGCGTGCGAACTGAGCATCAAATGTGCGTCCTCTCCCTTCTTCCCACCCACCTTGCTTCTTCCCACCCCTTTCTTCACGTGTACGTGCGAGCTGAGCAGTGCCGGACCCGTGCGTAGGAGTGAAGTGTGCTGACTTTAACGCCCAATGCGTGCGCAAGGGCGAGGAGGGCGTGTGCGAGTGCAAGGCTGGGTTTTACGATGACAATGGGGAGTGCATGGGTGAGCGAATGGGCTGCATGGGGATTGCATGGGTGAGCGAATGGGCTGCATGGGGATTGCATGGGTGAGCGAATGGGCTGCATGGGGATTGCATGGGTGAGCGAATGGGCTGCATGGGGATTGCATGGGTGAGCGAATGGGCTGCATGGGGATTGCATGGGTGAGCGAATGGGCTGCATGGGGATTGCATGGGTGAGCGAATGGGCTGCATGGGGATTGCATGGGTGAGCGAATGGGCTGCATGGGGAGTGCATGGGTGAGCGAATGGGCTGCATGGGGATTGCATGGGTGAGCGAATGGGCTGCATGGGGATTGCATGGGTGAGCGAATGGGCTGCATGGGAATTGCATGGGTGAGCGAATGGGCTGCATGGGGATTGCATGGGTGAGCGAATGGGCTGCATGGGATTGCATGGGTGAGCGAATGGGCTGCATGGGGATTGCATGGGTGAGCGAATGGGCTGCATGGGGATTGCATGGGTGAGCGAATGGGCTGCATGGGGATTGCATGGGTGAGCGAATGGGCTGCATGGGGAGTGCATGGGTGAGCGAATGGGCTGCATGGGGATTGCATGGGTGAGCGAATGGGCTGCATGGGGATTGCATGGGTGAGCGAATGGGCTGCATGGGGAGTGCATGGGTGAGCGAATGGGCTGCATGGGGATTGCATGGGTGAGCGAATGGGCTGCATGGGGATTGCATGGGTGAGCGAATGGGCTGCATGGGGATTGCATGGGTGAGCGAATGGGCTGCATGGGGATTGCATGGGTGAGCGAATGGGCTGCATGGGGATTGCATGGGTGAGCGAATGGGCTGCATGGGGATTGCATGGGTGAGCGAATGGGCTGCATGGGGATTGCATGGGTGAGCGAATGGGCTGCATGGGGATTGCATGGGTGAGCGAATGGGCTGCATGGGGAGTGCATGGGTGAGCGAATGGGCTGCATGGGGATTGCATGGGTGAGCGAATGGGCTGCATGGGGATTGCATGGGTGAGCGAATGGGCTGCATGGGGAGTGCATGGGTGAGCGAATGGGCTGCATGGGGATTGCATGGGTGAGCGAATGGGCTGCATGGGGATTGCATGGGTGAGCGAATGGGCTGCATGGGGATTGCATGGGTGAGCGAATGGGCTGCATGGGGATTGCATGGGTGAGCGAATGGGCTGCATGGGGATTGCATGGGTGAGCGAATGGGCTGCATGGGGAGTGCATGGGTGAGCGAATGGGCTGCATGGGGATTGCATGGGTGAGCGAATGGGCTGCATGGGGATTGCATGGGTGAGCGAATGGGCTGCATGGGGATTGCATGGGTGAGCGAATGGGCTGCATGGGGATTGCATGGGTGAGCGAATGGGCTGCATGGGGATTGCATGGGTGAGCGAATGGGCTGCATGGGGAGTGCATGGGTGAGCGAATGGGCTGCATGGGGATTGCATGGGTGAGCGAATGGGCTGCATGGGGATTGCATGGGTGAGCGAATGGGCTGCATGGGGAGTGCATGGGTGAGCGAATGGGCTGCATGGGGATTGCATGGGTGAGCGAATGGGCTGCATGGGGATTGCATGGGTGAGCGAATGGGCTGCATGGGGATTGCATGGGTGAGCGAATGGGCTGCATGGGGATTGCATGGGTGAGCGAATGGGCTGCATGGGGATTGCATGGGTGAGCGAATGGGCTGCATGGGGAGTGCATGGGTGAGCGAATGGGCTGCATGGGGATTGCATGGGTGAGCGAATGGGCTGCATGGGGATTGCATGGGTGAGCGAATGGGCTGCATGGGGATTGCATGGGTGAGCGAATGGGCTGCATGGGGATTGCATGGGTGAGCGAATGGGCTGCATGGGGATTGCATGGGTGAGGTAATGCGTTGTGCATCCCACTTCGCAGACCTCACTGGCGCTGCACCCCACATCTCATTACCACCGCGGCGTCCCACTCTCTCCACTCCCACACCGCGTGATAATAATCTAGTTTCGAGAATGGGTTGCGTTGGGAGGTCATAAGTGAGCTAATGGGTTGTGCATTCCACGTCTCACGTGTCACCACTCAGCTCCTACTCTTACTTACAAGAGTTAGAGGGAAAGCGAGGGTGTAGAGGAATGTGAGATGACAAGGATGAATAACGAAAGAACATCTCTCACTCTTATGGCCCTCCTCTTGTCTCTCCTTCTCCCATGCCGCCCACAGACCTGTGTGGTAAAACACAGTGCCCTGCATATAAGGTGTGCGTGCCCAAGGGGGACGCCCGGGTGTGCGAGTGCTGGGAGGGCTACACAGAGAAGAACGGGGAGTGCATCCGTGAGTATAGACTGATCACTGCAGGCGACCATGATGCTAGACTTTTGAGTCGACTCAAAAATGACTGCAGGCGACCATGGTGCTAGAAGTTTCTGAAGCTGCCCGCCCACCAGCACTGAATGACCCCCTTGCCTGTGTTTTTTATTCGTAGGATTTTTTAAAGCTGCCCGCTCACCAGCGCGGAATGGCGCTCCGTCTTGCCTTGCATGTGCTCCCTGCCCCACGGCAGCGCCAAACCCCTACGATGTGATGAAGTGTCAGCCGATCAGGCATGGCACGCCTTCTGAAGTGTCAGCCGATCAGGCATGGCACGCCTTCTGAAGTGTCAGCCGATCAGGCATGGCACGCCTTCTGAAGTGTCAGCCGATCAGGCATGGCACGCCTTCTGAAGTGTCAGCCGATCAGGCATGGCACGCCTTCTGAAGTGTCAGCCGATCAGGCATGGCACGCCTTCTGAAGTGTCAGCCGATCAGGCATGGCACGCCTTCTGAAGTGCCCCAAAACTCTCCATCACTGAATGAAACCCCTCTTTGCCTTGCGTGCACACTCTGCCCCATGCATGGCAGCGCCAAAGCCCTGCGATGTGACCGAGTGTCTGGAGAATGAGAAGTGCGAGGAGAGGGACGGGAAAGGCGTGTGCGAGTGTGTCAAGGGCTACACACGGAGGGGAGGCATGTGCAGTGGTGAGCCAGGGGCATGTGCAGTGGTGAGCCAGGGGCATGTGCAGTGGTGAGCCAGGGGCATGTGCAGTGGTGAGCCAGGGGCATGTGCAGTGGTGAGCCAGGGGCATGTGCAGTGGTGAGCCAGGGGCATGTGCAGTGGTGAGCCAGGGGCATGTGCAGTGGTGAGCCAGGGGCATGTGCAGTGGTGAGCCAGGGGCATGTGCAGTGGTGAGCCAGGGGCATGTGCAGTGGTGAGCCAGGGGCATGTGCAGTGGTGAGCCAGGGGCATGTGCAGTGGTGAGCCAGGGGCATGTGCAGTGGTGAGCCAGGGGCATGTGCAGTGGTGAGCCAGGGGCATGTGCAGTGGTGAGCCAGGGGCATGTGCAGTGGTGAGCCTGGGGCATGTGCAGTGGTGAGCCAGGGGCATGTGCAGTGGTGAGCCAGGGGCATGTGCAGTGGTGAGCCAGGGGCATGTGCAGTGGTGAGCCAGGGGCATGTGCAGTGGTGAGCCAAGGGTGCGTGGGTGTGTGAGAAAGTCTCTTGCCATTGTCTCAACGGTGCGTCAGAAGGTCAAAGCATTTCATCCTCATTGCATCTCATCCTCATTGCATCTCATCCTCATTGCATCTCATCCTCATTGCATCTCATCCTCATTGCATCTCATCCAACCCCCTCCCCTCACTCTCCCATCAGTGTCTTCAACCTTCCAAACGTCCCTCCCTGCCCTCCGTGCATTGCCTCTCCCTGCCCTCCGTGCATTGCCTCTCCCTGCCCTCCGTGCATTGCCTCTCCCTGCCCTCCATGCCAGCCCCGCTGGACCCTTGTGAGACCGTGGATTGCCCCCCGGGCTCCATTTGCAAAGGAGGTGTCTGCAAATTGCGTGGTGAGCAAACAGGGTGTGCACCGACTGCCCTGGTGAGCAGACGGGGTGTGCACCGTCTTTTCTAAAGCCGGGCTGCTTTTCTATAGCTGGGCTGCTTTTCTAGGATTGGGCCGTGGTCCTCAAATTCTGCTGCTCGTGTATTGGTGGGATCGAACGACACATAGACTAAGACACAGAACCGCAGATAGGGGTCAACACTCGGTAAAACGCTCACTCCCTCCGTGCTTTTCTTCCCCAGACATGGAGGAGCCAATCCCGGTACCCAGTGATGTAGTGGTGTGCGAGGGCAAGAGGGAGAGCGAGGGCAAGAGGGAGAGCGAGGGCACGAGGGAGTGCGAGGGCAAGAGGGAGTGCGAGGGCAAGAGGGAGTGCGAGGGCACGAGGGAGTGCGAGGGCACGAGGGAGTGCGAGGGCAAGAGGGAGTGCGAGGGCACGAGGGAGTGCGAGGGCACGAGGGAGTGCGAGGGCACGAGGGAGTGCGAGGGCACGAGGGAGTGCGAGGGCACGAGGGAGTGCGAGGGCACGAGGGAGTGCGAGGGCAAGAGGGAGTGCGAGGGCACGAGGGAGTGCGAGGGCACGAGGGAGTGCGAGGGCAAGAGGGAGTGCGAGGGCACGAGGGAGTGCGAGGGCAAGAGGGAGAGCGAGGGCAAGAGGGAGTGCGAGGGCACGAGGGAGTGCGAGGGCAAGAGGGAGTGCGAGGGCAAGAGGGAGTGCGAGGGCACGAGGGAGTGCGAGGGCACGAGGGAGTGCGAGGGCAAGAGGGAGTGCGAGGGCACGAGGGAGTGCGAGGGCAAGAGGGAGTGCGAGGGCACGAGGGAGTGCGAGGGCACGAGGGAGTGCGAGGGCACGAGGGAGTGCGAGGGCACGAGGGAGTGCGAGGGCAAGAGGGAGTGCGAGGGCACGAGGGAGTGCGAGGGCACGAGGGAGTGCGAGGGCAAGAGGGAGTGCGAGGGCACGAGGGAGTGCGAGGGCAAGAGGGAGTGCGAGGGCAAGAGGGAGTGCGAGGGCAAGAGGGAGTGCGAGGGCAAGAGGGAGTGCGAGGGCAAGAGGGAGTGCGAGGGCACGAGGGAGTGCGAGGGCAAGAGGGAGTGCGAGGGCACGAGGGAGTGCGAGGGCACGAGGGAGTGCGAGGGCACGAGGGAGTGCGAGGGCACGAGGGAGTGCGAGGGCAAGAGGGAGTGCGAGGGCACGAGGGAGTGCGAGGGCACGAGGGAGTGCGAGGGCAAGAGGGAGTGCGAGGGCACGAGGGAGTGCGAGGGCAAGAGGGAGTGCGAGGGCAAGAGGGAGTGCGAGGGCGAGAGGGAGTGCGAGGGCAAGAGGGAGTGCGAGGGCAAGAGGGAGTGCGAGGGCAAGAGGGAGTGCGAGGGCAAGAGGGAGTGCGAGGGCAAGAGGGAGTGCGAGGGCAAGAGGGAGTGCGAGGGCAAGAGGGAGTGCGAGGGCAAGAGGGAGTGCGAGGGCACGAGGGAGTGCGAGGGCAAGAGGGAGTGCGAGGGCAAGAGGGAGTGCGAGGGCAAGAGGGAGTGCGAGGGCAAGAGGGAGTGCGAGGGCAAGAGGGAGTGCGAGGGCAAGAGGGAGTGCGAGGGAAAGAGGGAGTGCGAGGGCAAGAGGGAGTGCGAGGGCACGAGGGAGTGCGAGGGCAAGAGGGAGTGCGAGGGCAAGAGGGAGTGCGAGGGCACGAGGGAGTGCGAGGGCACGAGGGAGTGCGAGGGCAAGAGGGAGTGCGAGGGCAAGAGGGAGTGCGAGGGCAAGAGGGAGTGCGAGGGCAAGAGGGAGTGCGAGGGCAAGAGGGAGTGCGAGGGCAAGAGGGAGTGCGAGGGCAAGAGGGAGTGCGAGGGCAAGAGGGAGTGCGAGGGCAAGAGGGAGTGCGAGGGCAAGAGGGAGTGCGAGGGCAAGAGGGAGTGCGAGGGCAAGAGGGAGTGCGAGGGCAAGAGGGAGTGCGAGGGCAAGAGGGAGTGCGAGGGCAAGAGGGAGTGCGAGGGCAAGAGGGAGTGCGAGGGCAAGAGGGAGTGCGAGGGCAAGAGGGAGTGCGAGGGCAAGAGGGAGTGCGAGGGCAAGAGGGAGTGCGAGGGCAAGAGGGAGTGCGAGGGCAAGAGGGAGTGCGAGGGCAAGAGGGAGTGCGAGGGCAAGAGGGAGTGCGAGGGCAAGAGGGAGTGCGAGGGCAAGAGGGAGTGCGAGGGCAAGAGGGAGTGCGAGGGCAAGAGGGAATGCGAGGGCAAGAGGGAGTGCGAGGGCGAGAGGGAGTGCGAGGGCAAGAGGGAGTGCGAGGGCACGCGGGAGAGCGAGGGCAATAGATAGAGATCACGACTGTTGCATAATGCTATCCCCCTCCGTGTCTCTCCAGCCATGGACGAGGCGGCCCCTGACCCCTGTGATGGAATAGTGTGCGAGGGCGACCGGGAGTGTGTGCCAACGAACGGGCAAGGGGCGTGCGAGTGTATGGCAGGGTACACTGAGATTGATGGCGCGTGCACTGGTGAGTCCAGCCTGGTGCAGCCCCGCATTCTGCCTGCATGCTGCCTGCATGCCGCTTGCCGGGTGGAGAATCGCGAGTCGTTGTGCGTGTGTGATGCCGGGTACACCATGCTGGCGAACGGCGAGTGCATGCGGTAGTGCCTGGGCTGAAACGACATGCCTCTTGTGCTTTCTTTCTTGCTGTTTCTCATCAACCTTTCACTTTCACTTCCCTCTCTCATCGCATACTCTCGGAAAGTCATCAACCTGTGTGCCCCATTCGTGTCCTTCATTAGTCTACATGTGTCTCCTCGTCCCCTCTCACTGCCTTCCATGATCATTCATTACCTGCCAATGAATGACAGCCTGTTATCATCCTTCATTACCTCTCACCATCTTTCATCATCTTTTTGATCGTTTCACCTTCTCACCCTGCTAACTTTCTTCATCTCTCCTTCCCTCCTCCTTCCTCACCCAATGCCGTCGCCTGTGCTTTCTTCCTCCCCCATGCCTCTCTCTCGTCTCGCCCCTCTGCCCACGCTGTGACAGCCGCATGCAGCCCGCCATGCCGTGAGGGGGCCACCTGCCAGGTGGACAGCGGGGTCAGCCAGTGCAAGTGTGACACAGATGCCGGATACACCATGATGGACGGCGGCCAGTGCAAGCGTGAGTGGCTGGGGTGATTTGGAAGGCATGCCCTTGTGCTGTGGAAGGCACGCCCTTGTGCTGTCTTCCCTCTTGGCTCATCCCTCTCACCTCCGTCCCAATCCCGCTATCACTCCTCCTTCACCTCACTTGCCCTCACAACTCGGACTCCCTCCGTGCCTCTCCAGGCTCAAACGCCCCAGTTGCTGACCCCTGTGGTGGAACGTGCGTGGGCGATCGGCAGTGCATGCAAGGGGTGTGCGAGTGCAAGGCGGGGTACACTGAGATCGATGGCGCGTGCACTGGTGAGCTGAAGAAGGAAGTTATTGAGGTTGCTAGGAGCTCAACTCACTCTCACTCTCATTATCACCTCACTCTCACTCTCTCTCACTCTCACCTCACTCTTACCCTCACTCTTAGTCACAGCCTCACCTCACTGCACTCCCACAATCGCCTCACTCTCACCTGACCGTCTATTTCTGCTCATTTTCAGCAGGCTTCTTTCATCTCGAATGCTCCTTGTGTCTTGTGAGTTTTGAGACAAATGGATAGAACGACAGGAAGAGAGATTGATCAACTCACTCACAAATTTGGACCCCTCTTTTCTTCCCCAATCATGTGCGCCCCAGTTGCTGCCCCCTGTGGCGGAACATGCAAGGCCAATCAGCAGTGCATGAATGGGGTGTGCAAGTGCAAGGAGGGGTACACTGAGATGGATGGCGCGTGCACTGGTGAGCTCAAGAAGGACGTTATTAAGGTTGCTGGGAGCTCACCTCACTCGCACCTCACTCTCACTCTCTGTCATATTCTTACCTCACTCGGACATAGAGATAACGACTCACTCACGAATGTGGCTCCCTCCGTGTTTCCCCAAACATGAACGCCCTAGTTGTTGCCCCCATCTCTCACCCCACCCCCGCCTCACTTGCTCTCACAACCCTGACTCCCTCCGTGCTTCTCCTCCAGCCACGAGCGCCCCAGTTGCTGACCCCTGTGGTGGAACGTGCAAGGGCAACCGGGAGTGCATGCAAGGGGCGTGCACGTGCAAGGAGGGGTACACTGAGATGGATGGCGCGTGCACTGGTGAGCTCAAGAAGAAAGGGCTTGAGGTGGCTCACGGTTGCTCAGCAGTGCGTCAACGTCCCATGCCTCACTCTCACCTCACTCTCTCCTCACTCTCTCCTCACTCTCACCTCACTCTCTCCTCACTCCTCACTCTCACCTCACTCTCTCCTCACTCTCTCCTCACTCTCACCTCACTCTCTCCTCACTCTCACTCTGTCACCTCACTCTCACTCTCACCTGTCTCAGTGCACAGTCACACACAGCTTTATTCAGTGCTCGTTGCAGTGAAGAATGGGAGAGATTTTCCTTCAGTGCATCTCACCTGCACCTTAATTTTATCGATTGCTCATCCTTCTCACATCATTCCCACTCCTGCTATCACTCCTCCTTAGCCTCACAGGCTCACTCCCACTACTCCCTCTGTGCTTTTCCTCCTGGCTCAAACGCCCCAGTTGCTGACCCCTGTGGTGGAACGTGCGGGGAAACTCGGGAGTGCGTGCAAGGGGTGTGCGAGTGCAAGGCGGGGTACACTGAGATCGATGGCCTGTGCACTGGTGAGCTTGAGAGGGGGGTGCTTAAGTTGCTCAACAGTTGTTTGCTTGGTGTTCAATAAGATTCTTAAGAACATCTCCGTTTTGTCACACACTCATGCCCCCCTCAACTCACTCTTCTCACTTGCTCACAACTCTGACTGCCTCCTTGCTTCCCCAGGCATGAATGCCCCAGGCTTGAACGCCCCAGTTGCTGACCCCTGTGGTGGAATAGTGTGCGAGGGCAACCGGGAGTGCGTGCCAACGAACGGGCAAGGGGTGTGCGAGTGCATGGCAGGGTACACTGAGATTGATGGCGCGTGCACTGGTGAGCTTGGAGCCCCATATGTGTCTCAAAAATATCCCACTTTCCTTGCACACTCATGCCTCCCTCAACTCACATCACCTCACTTCAACTCACATCAGCTCACTTCAACTCACCTCACCTCACTGCAACTCACCTCACCTCACTTCAACTCACCTCACCTCACTGCAACTCACCTCACCTCACTTCAACTCACCTCACCTCACTTCAACTCACCTCACCTCACTTCAACTCACCTCACCTCACTTCAACTCACCTCACCTCACTTCAACTCACCTCACCTCACTTCAACTCACCTCACCTCACTTCAACTCACCTCACCTCACTTCAACTCACCTCACCCTCAACCCACCTCTCATCACCCCAAGTCACTTCACCCCCCCACACAGCTCATTCTCACAGCTCACATGTTTGTCATTTCTATTCTCCATGGGTGATATCTCTTGCCCAGACACCACCGTTCCACTCAAACGTACCTCCCAACGTGCCTCTCGCCCCTCTCATCCCACCCACCCGCCCTGTACCAGCCGTGTGCAGCCCGGCATGCTCCCTCTACGCCTCCTGCCAGGTGGCCAATGGCACGGCGGTGTGCGTGTGCGATGCCGGCTACACCATGCTGGACAACGGCGAGTGCACGCGTGAGTGCCTGGGGGTGAAGTGGCCAGGGGTGAAGCAATATCCCCTTCTTACTTCGTGTCTCTCATCAGTATGTCACTTTCCCTCACGTTCCTCTCGTATTGCATGTCCTTCAGGCTTTGTCTTGGTTAGAAAAGGGGCCTGTATGGCCTACATGTGACGGGTTGTTTGTTTCAATCCCTCCTTCCCTTCTCCATCACCCAATGTCAATGACGTTTTTTTTTGCTTTCGTCTCGCCCTGTGCCCACGCTGTGACAGCCGCATGCAGCCCGCCATGCTCTGCGGAGACCACCTGCCAGGTGGAGAATGGGATTGGCGTGTGCAAGTGCAACGCTGGCTACACCTTGCTGAGCAACGGCCAGTGCAAGGGTGAGTGCCGGGGAAGAGGTGAGGGTGTGATACCCTTGTGTCACACATGCCCTTGAGTTGCTTTACTCCCACCGTGGCTTGTCTTAAGTTGTCGTACTCTTGGCCTCTCGCTTTCCTCTCACTTCCGTCTCTGTTTCGTTGCAACTGCAACCAAACTGGATTGCATTCCGTTCTCGCCCATTCCATGCCATTATGCATTCACGCTCGACTCGCTACGTGTTCACCGCTTCCTTGCCATACACAATATTCTTGGCTCTGCACATCCATCCCCCCTCTTGCGCTTGTGCGCCGATGTCCGTTGCATGTTCTGATAACATGTCTCAACCCGTGTGTTTTGTGTTCTCATGTCTCAGCATTCAGCCTCTTCCCCTCCCTCATGTCTCAGCATTCAGCCTCTTCCCCTCCCTCATGTCTCAGCATTCAGCCTCTTCCCCTCCCTCATGTCTCAGCATTCAGCCTCTTCCCCTCCCTCATGTCTCAGCATTCAGCCTCTTCCCCTCCCTCATGTCTCAGCATTCAGCCTCTTCCCCTCCCTCATGTCCTCTGCCGGTTCCTCAACCCGCTGATCCGCTTGTCCCCCTTGCAGCCGTGTGCAATCCTGCATGCAAAGCCAAGGCTGAGTGTGTGGTGGTGGGAGGCGACTCTGTGTGCCGCTGCAAGCAGGGATACATGCTGAAGAAGAAGAGATGCATGCGCCGAGGAGGGCAGGCCAGACGACGGGGTGCTTGAATCGCAAAGAGTGGTGAGCTAGTCATCGCTACTCGCTTCTTGACAGGGTTCATACTCTGTTCTTGTCTAGGTTTCTCCCCAACCCCCTGCAGAAAGGTGTGACCCGCAAGCCGCATCTCATGCCATCTCAATCCATGCAGTGCCATCCAAACTGTGGCCTTGCTCTCTCCCCATCCACCAGCATTCATCATCTTCAGTAAACATCATCCCAGCCTGTTGTTTTGTTCACTCATCTTTTTCCCCTGTTTGCATTTCTTATCCCTTTTCTCTAACTCTCTGTGTTCTGATGCGATCGATTACTCACGCGGATGACTGACAAGACAACTGTCGAAGACATTGAAGTCAAAATTGTACCAGTAGTACCGTATGGTTGGTTACCAAGTCTCGTACACCAGTATTGTTCCATAAAAGAAAAGGGAATGTATCTCTTCAATGCCCCTTCAATGTCTTCTACTGTAGTAATATGAGAACGGTCTTTTTCCAGAAGCACTTCAATTCTCCATAACAAAGTGTTGTAAAATTCTCATATTACTGTACTACCGTTGGTCTCTTGCTACTGTACTTCCTGAGCTCCCCTCTCGCACATATCCCTCCCTGTCTTCTTGTTCGGTAGTGGCTCTTTCTCCGTCTCTCATCCTTGCACTGCTCTTGGTGCTCCTCGTTCAGAAAAGCCTCTCGCTAGTCCGATAGGTTTCTCCTCACAGCGTAGCCATGCTAGGTTGTGCAACAAGTAATCTTCAGTAAAAGAAAACACAAACAAACAAGCAAAGGAGCCTAGTGCCTTGCTATGCTAGTCTATTTGCATCTCCTGCTCTCTAGCTTGGCCCTCTGAGTCTTGTGTGCTGTGCTGCTTAAAGCCCGCGTACAGCATGGTAATTTTCAAGTTCAAGATTCTTGAACTTGAAATCGCAAAAAACAGGGTTAGGACGCGGTGAAAGTGCAATTATCGCGGGATCGTCTGCAAATACCGAGCCTCACAATCGAGTGTACTGATCGTTCGGCGAAACATAGCGATCGCTCTGTTGTAACGATCGCACCTGAGATTGGTGGTTCTATGTTCCACATGCGAGAACACTGCCATGCCTGCGACACGGGCCTAAAATTACAAGCGTCGTCCAAGCCCACCTGCGACAGTCGCCCGAGTCGCGGTTGGAATGCTGCGAAATGTCGACAACCTTGGCGACTCCCTTTTCTGGCCCTGCGATAACTTCGGCAACTGCACGCTTCCGAATCAATTGCGCCTGGTAGGCTCGGTTCACTTGATTGATGCCTATCACTAATCTCCCGCGATCAACGATCAGTCTCATTCACACACAGAACCCTAATTCTGGCCAAAATAAATACTGTAGAATGGTTACATAAGGGTGAATAGGGTAACTGAGCCGCACACCGATCACCGCTGAAGATTGCTCGTCTACTTTCACCGCGTCCTTACCCTACTTGTTTTGAAGAAACTCTCGCAACCCCAGGCAATCGTCCTGCGACAACGGAACCCAAGTGCCCAAAAACAGAACTGACGCGATGATCGCCAACCATATGCACTGTTCACCACTCACATAACTTGCTTACCAAGTCGTACTCATAGACTAGGAGGCTCCAAGGCAAAAACTAGTGCTAGTTGGCAAAAGCGAGTCGTTGTTAGGGCTTTTTTTTTGTGCGGAAAAAAAAATAGGTATCCACCTCAACCATCTTAGTCAGTGCACGCTCCGATTTCCCCCTCACGTCGCCGGTCTCGTGTTACAACCCGTTCACCCGCAGCACTTACGTTAGTGAACAATCGTCGCGTTACTCGCGCCTTGCTTTCAAGCTCGCGTCGCACAAGATGCTCTTTTCACACTTGCTGCGGTTCAGCCTCGCGTCCCGATCGTACCGTTTTAGGCACGGGTCGCTCACGCGAATGCCGTACAGGTTCGCCAGACGCGCGCTGCCGTTAGTCTCATATGTTCCCCCTCGTCGGCCGCTCTTTCCCACGTCATACCGCTTTCCTCGTCGCCCGCAATTTCCCTCATCTCCCTCGCCGACCCTCGCCGCCCTCGCCGACCCTCGCCGCCCTCGCCTCTGCTTGTCGCCCGCGCTTCCCGTCGTCGCCCTTGCTTCCCCGTCACCCGTGCTTCCCGTCGTCGCCCTTGCTCTCCCGTCACCCGCACTTCCCGTCGTCGCCCTTGCTTCCCCGTCACCCGCGCTTCTTCTCATCTCTCGCTCTCCTCCTCAACGTCTTCGTTTCCCTCGTCGCCATAACGCCCTCGCTTCTGCCCGTCGCCCTCGCCTCCCCACATACCCGCCTCCATCTCCCCCACATACCACCCGCCTTCCTCCCCACATTCTATTCCGCTTGTCATACGCTCTTCTCCTCTTCCTCCCTTCCATCTCTCCCTCCCTCCCTCTCCCTCTCTCTATCTCTCTTTCTTCGAACCTCTCTCTCACCCTTTCTTCCACCCTTCTTCCTCCTGAGGGGAAGGGACTGAATGAGAGACACAGAGGGGATAGGACAGAAGGGTATGCAGATGTTCTTTTCCCCCACGCGCTTCCCCTCATCGCCCTCACTTCCCCCAAATTGTTGCCCCCTGTCTCTGTTTTTCCCAACCACCCGTTCTCCCACCAGCCCTGCTTCCCCCTTTGCACTGATTCCTTCCACCCTCTGCCCTGCTCCCCCCATCCCCTTCCCTGCTTCCCCCCACCCTCTGCCCTGCTCCCCCCCATCCCCTTCCCTGCTCCCCCCCACCCTCTGCCCTGCTTCCCCTCATCCCATTCCCTGCTTCTCCCCACCCCCTGCCCTGCTTCTCCCCATCCCCTTCCCTGCTTCCCCCCATCCCCTCCCCTGCTTCCCCCCATCCCCTTCCCTGCTTCCTCCCATCCCCTTCCCTGCTTCCCCCCATCCCCTTCCCTGCTTCCATCCCCTTCCCTGCTTCTCCCCATCCGCTTCCCTGCTTCCCCCCATCCCCTTCCCTGCTTCCCCCTACCCTGTGCCCTGCTCCCCCCCATCCCCTTCCCTGCTTCCCCCCATCCCCTTCCCTGCTTCTCCCCATCCCCTTCCCTGCTTCCCCCCATCCCCTTCCCTGCTTCCCCCCATCCCCTTCCCTGCTTCCCCCCATCCCCTTCCCTGTCTCCGTGTTACCCGTTTCCTTGTCCCTTTTCCCTGTGTCTCCCCACCCTCTGTTCTTATTCCTTCACCCTCGCACACCTTACCGCCTGCCGACCTTACCGCCTGCCCACCTTACCACCTCAAATCCTTCCCTTCTCATCCGCGTGCAGGTGTGGCGGAAGGTGCACGTGCTGCCTTGTGCCTGCCGCTTGTTGTCCACGCCTTCCATCCCACCTCTCCCAAACCACGTCTTTTTCTATATGTGCCTCCCCTGCTGGCCCATACCCTCTGCTGATCTGCGCCCTATGAGGCTGTGCCCTCTCTGTTCCCCGCCCCTGCATGTACGGAGGGATTGGGAGCCGCTTTGCCTAGCAGCAAGCACTGTGCAGGCAAGGATTCGAACTGGTGGATCATGGGGCAAGGGTAAGGGAGTGTGTTGTGCGGCATGGTCAGTGCGGAGTGGCGTGGGAGGGAGGCAAAATGGCAAGCACAGGGTGAAGGCAGGCAGGGGCCGTGGCAAAAATATGGAGATTGGCAGTGTCCGCAGGATGTGCGGCAGGATGCTGGCGGCAGCGCACGTCAGGGCATGTGCGGTGGGGCAAGGCTGGTCTGCGCTGCGGTGGGCCGGGGGAGTGCAGATTGGTGCAGGGAAAGGCACGACATGTTCCTATGTGGCCGGCCGATGTTGGAAACAATCGATCTTAAGCGCCTCTGTCGTGTCGAAACACTAAGACACAAACGAAGCGAAGCATAACGAAGCACCGACGAGTCAACCCTCGGAGGTTGAAAGTAACTGTTGGAGGTTACGCGAAAGTCAAAGGTCAGTGACCCTTGACCTGACAAGTACAGCGCGACAGCAAGGACACACAACTGACTCGCTACAGAGCAGTTGCTCGAGTCGTCACTGTATCGAACCGCAACAGCAACAGTAAAGTAGTTACAACCGAATCTCTTCGTATTCCTTGTACTCTTATATAATCTTGTTTCTCCTTGTTTCAATCAATCTACTTTGCCCTCACATACTAGCGCAAGGTGGTTCACAAATTCTTCATTAAAACGCTTCCGCTATTACAACAAGTCCTACCCCGAGTTTACCCCTGCAAAGATCCTAAGGGCTTTTTCTCAGCCCAACATGGTATGAGAGCAGTCAGGGAGAATTCGACTTCTATTAAAATACCAACTGCATCAACAAGCATGGCTACACAAAAGGAAAGGAGCTCCTCCAATGGCTCCCAGGGCACTACTCCTACTCCACCTCCTGCCTCTGGCCTACAGACAGAGGAGGGAACGGCAACAAGACCCAGGGCAACATCCACCGAGACTCCTGCGAATCAACCTGCAGACTTCGACCAGAGCATGATGGAGAATTTTTTCTCCTTCATGTCCTTCTACGAGCAACACCAGCAATCGGCACCTGCGCAGTCACACAACAGCAACAACAACGGAGCAACTCCCATGAGTCTCGACGGCTCATCATACACACGAGGAAATCAACAGCAGCAGCCTACCTTTGCTCCGTACGAGCGCGGGTCCATCAGCTTCATGCCACACCCGCAGCCCTCACCTGGACAAGAAAAGTCACTGGACGCACTACAAGTTCAGTCGCAGTTCGCGCACGTTCTGAAGATGCAGACGTCAAGGCCTTTTGATGGAAAGGATTTCTTCACCTGGTCGTTTGAATTCGAATTAATGATGGAAGGCGCGCAGATACTTGGCTTCTTCGACGGATCCCTGCCATACCCAACAAACGGCACACAGTATGAGAAGCAGCAGTACACCTATCAGTCGATGATGGCGTACACTATTCTACTGAGAAACATCACCCCGACTCAACAGCAGAATATACGGTCTTACCGCGGTTACGGCAACTCCGCGGAGCTCGCGTACAACCACTTGAAGAGCCTGTATCAAGCAACAG